ATCCACTCAGAAATGTGGACTTCGGGGATCTTCGCGATTCCTCGGAGGCGAGGTGGAAATCAAGGACGAGCGCCGGTGACAGGGAACAGAGGCTATGAGGGAGTCGAGGTCCAGGGGCAGCTCACCTCTGATAATCTGTGAAGAAACGCGTCGAACAGGGCTTCCGGGTTCCAGGCTCTCTCAGCCGCCAACGTGCGAAAATCCACTGCGTAGTCGGCCACACTACGGGAATCCTGACATAGTTGGAGCAGCTTACGAGCCGCCTCTCTCCCAGACAATGGAGAATTGGACACTTTATGTACCTCTGCCACAAACTCCTCCAGTCTGAGACAGATGGTGGATAGTTGCTCCCACACAGCTGTAGCCCAGGCAAGAGCCCTCCCAGATATCAGCGTTATCACGTACGCTATCCTCGAACGATCCTAGGGAAATGAAGAGGGATGCAGCTCAAAGATGAGAGAACACTGGGAGAGAAACGCCCGGCAGGATCCGGGATCTCCAGCGTAGCGCTCCGCAGGAGGAAAGCCGGGTTCTTGGGAAGCCGGGGTAGATTGAGGAGAAACGCCGCTGGTAGCAGGGTAATTGACAGTCTGGGGGGTTACTGTAGTGGCGGGCTGCCTCACAGACAATTTGTGGAATTGCTCCAGCAATGTGTTGAAGGCACGGTCCTGGCGTTCCACCAAGGTCTGGAATCCTTCCATAAGACCTTGAAGTAACTCCTTGTGTCTTCCAATGGTGGCTCCCTGGGAGGAGACGGCATTGCGGAGCTGGTCCGAGTCTGCTGGGTCAGTCATGGCCAGTTTGTACTATCACGGCTCAGGATATGACCCAGATGCAGACACAGGAGGTGGATCGTACAGTTCTCAGATAATTTATTATAAACACGGGGCAGGCAAAGGGCAGGTCGAGGACAGGCAGAGGTTCGTGATCAGGTCAGAGTCAGGCAGGTACAGGACAGCAGGCAGGCTTGGGGTCAGGGCAGGCAGAATGGTCAGAACCGGGAAAACTAGGAAACAGAACTTGAGAAACAGGAAGACGGGAAAGCACGCTGATAAGACCTGACAAGACAAGATGAACTGGCAACAGACAAACAGAGAACACAGGTATATATACACAGGTGATAATGGGGAAGATTGTCGACACCTGGAGGGGGTTGGAAACAAGCACAAAGACAGGTGAAACAGATCAGGGTTTGACAAGAGGGCTGAATCTAAATCAGGACTTTGACATGAGACAGGGATCATCAACTAAATTCAGCTGCGGGCCGATTATTTATTGGGCGGATGGTCAGGGCCCGGAACATAATTACAAATAATTTGTACCAACTGGGCACACACTGCTTGAATCAACGTTGTTTCCACCGTGGAATAGACGTTGAATTGATGTCTGTGCCCAGTGGGTAGACTGCAAATTGACCGCAAGAAGCCCAAACAGATATAATATTTGACTAAAACATAATAATTTCATACCTTGCCTACATTTGCATACGATCACATATATCTCTCTATAATACACTGAGTATACAAAACATTAAGAACACCTCATTTTTCCATGACATAGACTGACCAGGTGAATCCAGGTGAAAGCAATGATCCCATATTGATGTCACTTGTTTAATCCACTTCAATCAGTGTAGATGAAGGGGAGGAGACAGGTTAAAGAAGGATTTTTAAGCCTTGAGACAATTGAGACATGGATTGTGTATGTGTGCCATTCAGAGGGTGAATTGGTAAGACAAAAGATTTAAGTGTCTTTGAACAGGGTATGGTAATAAGTGCCAGGCGCACCGGTTTGTGTCTAGAACTGCAACGCTGCTGAGTTTTTCACACTCAACAGTTTCCCGTGTGTATAAAGAATGGGTTATTAGGTTATTAAATGATTGTATCTGAGCTCCTAGAGTGTGACTCTCCTTTTCTTTTTCAAGGGTGTTCCTAAAGTTTGGTATACTCAGTGTACGTGGGAATGCTTTGGAATAGATTTCCAAAATGTAAATATTACATTATGTCATTTAGCAGACGCTTTTATCCAAAGCGACTTACAGTCATGTCTGCATACATTTTTACGAATGGGTGGTCCAGGGGATCGAACCCACTACCCTGGCGTTACAAGCGCCGTGATCTCCTGATTGGCGCAGTGGTCTAAGGCACTGCATCGCAGTGCTAACTGTGCCTCTAGAGATCCTGGTTCGAATCCAGGCTCTGTCGCAGCCGGCCGCGACCGGGAGACTCATGGGCGGCGCACAATTGGCCCAGCGTCGTCCAGGGTAAGGGAGGGAATGGCCGGCAGGGATGTAGCTCAGTTGATAGAGCATGGTGTTTGCAACGCCAGGGTTGTGGGTTCGATTCCCACGGGGGGCCAGTATATTCACTAACTGTAAGTCGCTCTGGATAAGAGCGTCTGCAAAATGACTAAAATGTAAATGTAAATCTACCAATTGAGCTACAGAGGACCACTTGGAGATGATTTGTTGGTGTTTTTACAGTATTTTATTTCCATTAATAAATAAAAATAAACTTGGGACTACAAGTTGGGGAAGCCTGACATAAGTTATCTGGGTTTTCACAGACCTTTTTTAGGGTTACAGCAGGTCCTTTTCAATGACTTGATAAAGACTGAAACTTAAATATTAGTACAGAACAGTTTGTCATTTTTATTGGTACACAAAAATACATATATTTTGCACATTTTATTGGGAAACAAAACTACACATGTAAAACATAATTCCAGAAATAATGTTATAAAAAACATAATTTGACAAAAATTCAAAAACAAGATTAGAAGCCTGTCTATTCATTTTCCTGTGTGTCTGTGGTGCTGTCCTCTGTGGTGCTGCCCTCTGTCTATGATCTGAGGGATTGTGGCGTGTTCACTTGCAGGCTACAGTTGATGGGCACCACTATCTCAGCCACCTCCTCCTCAGCAGATAATGGATTCTTTGGTGCCTCGATGTGGAGCTTCCTGGTAGCACAACATCTTCAGTCAATGTTGAGTGTTGAGTCTTCTTGCTCTGAGATGGCACTGTGTGTTCTATTGGTTTCTGTCTCAGCAGTGGGAGTTTCACAGCTTTTATACTGAACAAAAATATAAACGCAACATGCAACAATTTCATTAGGCTCTAATCTATGGATTTCACATGACTGGGCAGGGGTGCAGCCATGGGTGGGCCACCCACTGGGGAGCCAGGCCCAGGTGAAGAAGCTGGATGTGGAGTTCTTGGGCTGGCGTGGTTACATTTGTCTGCGGTTGTGAGGCCGGTTGGACGTACTGCCAAATTATCTAAAACAACATTGGAGGTGGCTTGTGGTAGAGAAATTAACATTAAATTCTCTGAAAACAGCTCTGGTAGACATTCCTGCAGTCATCATGCTAATTGCACGCTCCCTCAAAACTTGAGACATCTGTGGCATTGTGTTGTGACAAAACTGCACATTTTAGAGTGGCCTTTTATTGTCCCCAGCAAAAGGTGCACCTGTGTAATGATCATGCTGTTTAATCAGTTTCTTGATATGCCACACCTGTCAGGTGGATGGATTTTCTTGGCAAATGAGAAATGCTCACTAACAGGGATGCAAACAAATTTGTGCACAACATTTTAGAGAAATATGCTTTTTGTGTGTATGGAAACTTTCACATATTTTTTACTTCAGCTCATGAAACATGGGACCAACACTTTACATGTTGCGTTTATATTTTTGTTCAGTGTATATTCTGCCATTTTGAGCTCCAGCGTCTTCAGGAACATTCTTGTCTTCGCCACAGTTCTCCACTGGGTGTCACCCTGCACATGGGTAATTTTCTTAATCTGTTCAGTAATGAAAGAAGCAGTGCACATATTCCAAATACTTTTTCTGTGATGATGTTGTATATATTTCCTTGCCTGTGTGTTTCACAGGTCCTCTGTAGCTGAATTGGTAAAGCATGGCGCTTGTAACGCCAGGGTAGTGGGTTCGATCCCCGGGACCACCCATACGTAAAAATGTATGCGCACATGACTGTAAATCGCTTTGGATAAAAGCGTCTGCTAAATGGCTTATTATTATTATTACTCCAGGTCAAGAGTACTTCTCCCATAATTGTTCCTTATACACGCCAAGACTGTTGAAATGGGCAAGACCGGAATGGTTGCAGAATGTACATTTTCACCATTGTCACTATAGACTATAGTTATTCAAATAGCTTTCATTTTTTCATATGTAATTTGCAAGGCTCTGAATGTCAAGGCAGAAAAAGTAATTAGGCCAACCTGACTGACACTGAATTAAATTGCTCATTGAAAATGTCATTTTCTATTTAAGTCATGCAATAAAGTTTTTTTTCTTTTTCTGAAACGGATATTGCCTGTTAGATATGTTTCATATTCTCGTCCGTGTCAATATCAGGACAGGCAGCCCTGCCTGCTGGTGATTCAGGCTACTTTAGATTAAGTGAAAAATGTGATCTGCATATGGAAATATCATGTTTAGGATGACTCATCGTGCAGTACGTGCACACTGAATTTCACAGACGAGAAGGAAATTGTGTTCAGTGAAATGAATCTTCCTTATCTTATATGACAGACAATTTCTGCTATTTTGAGGGTTGCGTACGGTGCAAAAATTTAAAGCTTGATTATAGTATAGCTATAGTAGCTCTTAGAAGTTTTACACACTATTGTCTCTGACGCTAAAAGCATAAGATATCAGACCATGGAAGAGTTATATAACCATTGATTTTGCTGTGCATGAGATAAAGTCTCACCCATGTCATGCCTAGTCTATTTGGTTGAAAGAGCAAACATAAACTGTTATGGCAATTGAATAACAAGTTCCTTAATCAGACAATTTGATTAAACAGTAGGCTGTGTAAAAAAAATTATTTAAAAAACTGTTTTGAAAGCCATTTCAAAAAATATTTTAAAGGGAGACTTTCACTGCTGACTATCGAAACCGGAAGTTAGAGTCTCCACTTCCAGGAACTTTAGCCAATATATGTTTTGTTGCCAGTGTGGGACTGCTGTAAAAATGGCGGCGTCTCGTCGCTCTTCCCAGCAGCAAAAGCAGAGCATATCCTCGCCACCTCGCAGTACTTCTCTTTCACTCACTCCTCCGGGATCTCCTCCCGTTCCCGGTGGTGGAATAATTTCGGTACCAGTGGGTGCTGAAGTAGACAGCGCTGGGGATCCAGAGTTAACTCCGGCCTCCCCCGATATCCCCGCCCCGGCCCTGAGCAGTAGCAGCAGCTCCACTACCACCGGGGGTAGCAGCAGCGCTGGCTCGAGTCCTGACTCCGGTAGCAATAGCAGCCCCGGGGGCAGCGACTGCGGGACAAGCGGGGCTTTCAGAGAGCTGTTTGAAGCCTGTCGCAATGGGGACGTATCGCGGGTGAAGAGGTTGGTGGATACGGTTAACGTGAATGCCAAGGACATGGCTGGGCGAAAATCCACTCCGCTACACTTCGCTGCAGGTAACGTCGATGGCGAATGCTCGCTATGAGCTGGTTTGTTTAGCTTACATAGTTAGCCAACTACTTGAGTAGATTGCTAACTATCTAACTAGCAACATTTTCTTACACTAACTTTTGCAAGATCGATTGCTCAGATAGTTTGTTAGCCAACAAACTTCGCGTACTAGTTCGGTAACGTTAGCCTAGCTAGGTTAGGCTAGCTTGTCGAAAATGCTGAGCCAGTTAGCCAACATTTTGAGTCAGAGAGGGGTTGGCAAGTACCTCAACTCCACAATGATTTCATCCACGGAGTTAAGAGCAGATGCGTTTTTTAAATGAACCTCCGACTCCTTCGAGTCGATATGCACTAGATACTTTAATAAAAAATAAATAAAAATATAGCTAAAACCGTACCATATACCTATGTTTGTCCTCTATTGTTGCGTGCGTTTTCTTAATTTTCTGAAATCCACACTTTTTAATAAAACGATAATCAAATTTAACCACCGACTGTTTCCTTGTTGAGATTCACTGAGTTGCCACCTTAGAGAAAAAGCATTGAGGAAACAGTCTGGTGGTTGTATTTATTAATATGCACGTTTTATTAAAAAGTATGGATTTAAGCAAACAAAGAAAGGTATGCTACAACAGGACAAAGTCTATCGACACCAAGGAGTCAGAGGTTCATTAAAAAACGTTCGTCTGTGCTCAACTCCGTGGATGAAGTCATCGTGGAGTTGAGGATCTATGGGAGGGGGCACTGTATTAGCCACCAAGTTGTAAGCAAAACTCACAGGCCTTTCCAGGCAGCCAGCATCATTTGGAATGAATCTAAAACAAGTATAACTAACTATCTAGTTAGTTGGCTTGGTAAGATATGCTTGCATTAAACCAGGAACTTAAAACATGGCAGACATAATAAACAAACCATACTGAGTTAGTAGATGTGACACAACCAGTATGTCTTCTCATAAAAAACTATAAAATAAATATGTTAAACAATGATTGCAGGTTGTGTTTCACAGTTTTAGAGACCCATTTGTGTATGGATGACAAACACACCTTACACAATCTTTCCACTTTTTAGGATTTGGGAGGAAGGATGTTGTGGAGCACCTCCTTCAGACAGGTGCCAACGTTCATGCCCGTGATGACGGAGGTTTGATCCCTCTGCATAACGCCTGCTCCTTTGGTCATGCTGAGGTGGTCAGCCTGCTCCTCTGTCAGGGTGCTGACCCAAACGCCCGGGACAACTGGAACTACACACCTCTCCACGAAGCTGCCATCAAGGGCAAAATAGACGTGTGCATCGGTAAGAAACATCTATGACGACGTGCAACTTTTATGCTTACTTTGCATTCTGTGCTGACTTTACAAACTTTAATCAGTTTTCTGTATGATAATATAGTCCTAGCTATCTTTTGAATGCAAATCTAAGGCTATTGTGTCATGAACAGATTAATTAATAGACAAAATGCTGTAGAAATTGATAGGAGATGCTATGGTCTGTAGCTCTGCGGCTGGTTATTGTATCATCAAGACTTTCAACTAGGTTATTTTGCCCTGAGACAAACATGTCACCCCTAGTGATCTCAACAGAATCACAAGATCTCAATGACATAATGGCAATTTCTGACCAGCCCATAATGGTCTGGTCCTGACAGTCTCCCTGTCTCCAGGGAGAGAAACCAGACACCACTGAAAAGAACATCAGGCCAGTTCAGTTTCTCTGGGCAGAAACTAAAGGCACTTACTTTGACCTATGTAATGGCAAGATACTTTATTTTCTCCCATTGCTCTAATGGAATAATCCCTGCATTGATCAAGAGTCGAGACACAAGACTTGTCTATACGCCTTCAGAGCGATGTGCTTTTTAGCATCTGCTTCTTTGAATTATGCTCGACTACTATATTCTTTGGCTCTTGAATACAGCTGGTTTCTTGTTGCAATCTCTCTGCTGTGAAATGAGCATCATGGCACAGGGATGCACACATTATTCTCTCTGGTGTGTAATGAGCTGAATTATGATTATGTGCCTCCTCTTCACTTTGATGGTTCAGCTGACTTCCCAGACATTTATTATTGAGGAAAATATTTGAAAACATCACTAAACACTTTTCCATCCACAGTTTTTATGCAAGTAAAGTGATCTTGATGCTCCTTGCCAATATATCGAGGGTCTGATTCTGATGACATGATGATCGATGCGTGACTGCCATTTGACAAATAAAAATAATAATCTCATCATGTAGACTAGCCTACCTGCACTGTATATGTGAGCTGTTGGCTTGAGCGCACGTGCCAAGACCAGAGTATGCACATTTTTTCATTTTCTTTATTACATTTACATTTACATCATTTAGCAGACACTCTTATCCAGAGCGACTTACAAATTGGTGCATTCAATTTATGATAGCCAGTGGGACAACCACTTTTTTTTTATGGGGAAGGGGGGGTAGAAGGATTACTTTATACTATTCCAGGTATTCCTTAAAGAGGTAGGGTTTCAAGTGTCTCCGGAAGGTGGTCAGTGACTCCGCTGTCCTAGTGTCGTGGGGGAGCTTGTTCCACCATTGGGGCGCCAGAGCAGCGAATAGCTTTGACTGGGCTGAGCGGGAACTGTGCTTCCGTAGAGGTAGGGGAGCTAGCAGGCCAGAGGTGGATGAACGTAGTGCCCTCGTTTGGGTGTAGGGTCTGATCAGAGCCTGAAGGTAAGGAGGTGCCGTTCCCCTCACAGCTCCGTAGGCAAGCGCCATGGTCTTGTAGTAGATGCGAGCCTCAGCTGGAAGCCAGTGGAGTTTGCGGAGGAGAGGGGTGACATGAGAGAACTTGGGAAGGTCGAACACCAGACGGGCTGCGGTGTTCTGGATAAGTTGTAGAAATCATGGAGCGGGCAGTCCTTCCACGGGAGGAAGAGCAGCTCCGTCTTGCCAAGGTTCAGCTTGAAGTGGTGATCCGACATCCACAATGATATGTCTGCCAGACATGCAGAGATGCGATTCGCCACCTGGTTATCAGAAGGGGGAAAGAAGAAAATTAATTGTGTGTCGTCTGCGTAGCAATGATAGGAGAGACCATGTGAGGATATGACAGAGCCAAGTGACTTGGTGTATAGAGAGAATAGGAGAGGCCTAGAACTGAGCCCTGGGGGACACCAGTGGTGAGAGCACGTGGTGCGGAGACAGATTCTCGCCACGCCACCTGGTAGGAGCGACCTGTCAGGTAGGACGCAATCCAAGAGTGAGCAGCGCCGGAGATGCCCAACTCAGAGAGGGTGGAGAGGAGGATCTGATGGTTCACAGTATCAAAGGCAGCAGATAGGTCTAGAAGGATAAGAGCAGAGGAGAGAGAGTTAGCTTTAGCAGTGCGGAGAGCCTCCGTGACACAGAGAAGAGCAGTCTCAGTTGAATGACCAGTCTTGAAACCTGACTGTTTTGGATCAAGAAGGTCATTCTGAGAGAGATAGCAGGAGAGTTGGCTAGAGACGGCACGCTCAAGAGTTTTGGAGAGAAAATAAAGAAGGGATACTGGTCTGTAGTTATTGACATCGGAGGGATCGATTGTAGGTTTTATGCGGAGGGGTGCAACTCTCGCTCTCTTGAAGACAGAAGGGACATGGCCAGCGGTCAAGGATGAGTTGATGAGCGAGGTGAGGTAGGGGAGAAGGTCTCCGGAAATGGTCTGGAGAAGAGAGGAGGGGATAGGGTCAAGCGGGCAGGTTGTTGGGCGGCCGGCCGTCACAAGTCGCAAGATTTCATCTGGAGAGCGAGGGGAGACAGAAGTCAAAGCAGAGAGTAGGGCAGTGTGAGCAGGACCAGCGGTGTCATTTGACCTAATAAATGAGGATTGAATGTCATCAACCTTCTTTTCAAAATGGTTGACGAAGTCATCCACAGAGAGGGAGGAGGAGGATTCAGCAGGGAGGAGAAGGTAGGCTGAGATGAACTCTGCCTTATTGGCTGCAGAACGGCAGTTCCAGAGGCTGCCAGAGACCTGGAACTCCACGTGGGTAGTGTGCGCAGGGACCACCAGATTAGAGTGGCAACAGCCACGTGGTGTGAAGCGTTTGTATGGCCTGTGCAGAGAGGAGAGAACAGGGATAGACAGACACATAGTTGACAGGCTACAGAAAAAGGCTACAATAATGCAAAGGAGATCGGAATGAAATGAACTAAACATCTGGGAAAGCGAGAGTGGGGCCTCCCTCACTTACGTTTCACTGAAACACTCAAATATAACTCTCCCAACTTCCACTTTAGAAATTATAATTGTTGTAAACTACAGCGGTTCAATATTCAGCTAGCTAACTTGGTACAGTATTCTTCCGTGAAAACCGTCCAGGGCACCGAATCCTATGACGCCAAAGCCAACTAGCATGCCAGCCTCCAATAACACGGTTTAGCACCAATACTCGGTTACAACAAACCACCAGTGTGTTAACACGCCAAGCAGATCATTCATGTCCGTGTCTAACGTTGTGTAAAGTTTTGGGTTAGTTTTGACAGTTTGAGTGAGTACGTCGTCAACTTATTCAGCCAGTTAGTTAGCTAGAATAGTTAGCATACTAGCTAGCCATTGCTCTCTGCCAACGAACTAACCCCTCCTCCCACGGCACGAACACACAGAGAGCCAAGCTAACGTTAACTAGTCACCAATGTCCCGAATTCCCTTGAACGACTCTGGTTACCAGTATGTAAAAACAAAACAAAAATAAATGTAGGTTATAACTTACCCTTAGTAGCTACTGTCAGCCAGTTAAGTGCAAAGCTAGCTACTGAATCGATTCAGCCAGTTCGTGCTTCACCGGGCTCAGCCGAATACAATACTTACCTACAATACCTACCTACTATCTAAATACATGGTTTAAGCTTTACTCGACACCATATAAGCCAAGCTTACCTCCTGCCAGAGAAAGACACAACCTCACCCGACGCTGTTCATAATTCTTTATAACCTTTTTTAGTGGGTAGAGCAGCTTTAATATTGCAGATAGATTGTGGCTTCTATCAATGTAATTGTCTGCATAATTTCCAATCGCCCAATGGGGCGGCAGGTAGCTTAGTGGTTAAGAGCGTTGTGCCAGTAACCGAAAGGTCGCTGGTTCTAATCCCCGAGCCGACTAGGTGAAAATCTGTCGATGTGCCCTTGAGCAAGGCACTTAACCCTAATTGCTCCTGTAAGTCGCTCTGGATAAGAGCGTCTGCTAAAATGACTAATATGTATAAAAAATATTTTTTTTGTAAATATATACATTTTTTGTTGTTGCAAAGAGTAGTATTATATTATTGATTGATTGACTATGACTTCTTAAATCACCCAGTAATGCTATTTGCAGAGTTAGCTCCAGGTAAATGTAGCAATTCATCAGCCATTCCTGAACCTGCAACCACAAACAAGCTACATATAGATGGTACCAAAACAAATGATCTAATGATTCTGTTGCTTCGCAGCAAAATCTGCAGAGCTGGGATGGTTGTATCCCTTCTATATATATATATATATATATACACACACACAGTGAGGGGAAAAAAGTATTTGATCCCCTGCTGATTTTGTACGTTTGCCCACTGACAAAGAAATGATCAGTCTATAATTTTATATAGTAGGTTTATTTGAACAGTGAGGGACAGAATAACAACAACAAAATCCAGAAAATGGGATGGTGTTCTTGGGGTCATAGGCAGCATTCCTCCTCCTCCAAACACGGCGAGTTGAGTTGATGCCAAAGAGCTCCATTTTGGTCTCATCTGACCACAACACTTTCACCCAGTTCTCCTCTGAATCATTCAGATGTTCATTGGCAAACCTCAGACGGGCCTGTATATGTGCATTCTTGAGCAGGGGAACCTTGCGGGCGCTGCAGGATTTCAGTCCTTCACGGCGTAGTGTGTTACCAATTGTTTTCTTGGTGACTATGGTCCCAGCTGCCTTGAGATCATTGACAAGTTCCTCCCGTGTAGTTCTGGGATTATTCCTCACCGTTCTCATGATCATTGCAACTCCACAAGGTGAGATCTTGCATGGAGCCCCAGGCCGAGGGAGATTGACAGTTCTTTTGTGTTTCTTCCATTTGCGAATAATCGCACCAACTGTTGTCACCTTCTCACCAAGCTGCTTGGCGATGGTCTTGTAGCCCATTCCAGCCTTGTATAGGTCTACAATCTTGTCCCTGACATCCTTGGAGAGCTCTTTGGTCTTGGCCATGGTGGAGAGTTTGGAATCTGATTGATTGATTGCTTCTGTGGACAGGTTTCTTTTATACAGGTAACAAGCTGAGATTAGGAGCACTCCCTTTAAGACTGTGCTCCTAATCTCAGCTCGTTACCTG